AAAGAAAATTACTTCCTCAGTTGTTCACCGAATGACTCAAAATCTCGATTGTTCCTTTTAAACTTGTATTGTTTATCTTCAAAAAGAAAGAAAACTGTGAGTGGTTGGATTAACTTGAAGTGCTAAAGTATTTTTTGTGCCCTAGAATCTATACTAATTCCAAAATACTCGTGCTTTCCTGATTTCACCAGATTTTCCTAAGACTCGTCCTGAGGCTAAGCATTTTCAAAAATTACTCATAAAGTTCTTCTACAGCAGATTTCCTTAAGCGATGATCAAGCTTTAGTACTTTATTCTGATTAGTTTTTACGTTTCTGTCTTCTTCAGAGCCTAGAATATCAGAAGTAATTCAACATTCTTTCCAATCTTCAATCTCGCCACAAATTTCCTTTATTTTTTTTTTTTGAGAGGAGGGAGGAGTTTTCCATTTGCATCATTGCATTTGAAATTTTCCAAAAATTATTCTGAAATAACAATTATATCAATTTGATGGATCCTAAAAGGCCTAAGCTGAGATAAGACTATATTGATCTTGAGGGTTCTTTGTTTAAATTTTAGAAGGTTACCTAGAATGGATGCGCAATGTTTTCTTCGTAAATTGACTAACAGAAAGCTAGATGTGCTTCACTCACAGTAAGTTTTGTCTGTTGTTTAATTAAAGTGAGCAATAGATTACAAACGCAGCTTCAGACAGCTTCTCTTTTCCTCGGAATACTTTTCGGATTGTCGAGTGGCTTATCCTTATCTTCTTTCCGTTTATTATTTATTTTAGAACGATCTTTCAGTTACATTACCCACTTCGTTTAGATGCTTAGGGATAACTCTATCCTATCCGCTTGTGGGCTTTTACTTCAAGTCTGCAAACAACACGGAACGACACGCTCAAATCCATAAAAGCGGATCCTGCTGCTCCACAGATAAGCCGTGGGATTTTCCAGCAAAGATTATGTTATCCGCATTTATTGCGATCGGCGATCCTAATAAGTTGTCGATGCTGCAATGGCCGGGAAAACATGTGTACTGGCTAAGAAGCTAAGACTATTTGAAGCTTTACTCTATCCACGCTGCGATGATCGGGAACATGTGCCTTGGCTGAGAGGCTAAGACAACCTAGAGCTTGATCATCTTCTTCATTAGTGGGAGTATGTGAGGTATAAGTATAGCTCGCCCTTCAAGAAGTCTCATAACATCTTCGGTGACTTGATTTCTGATATTTGAAACAGCGTGTAGACTACATATTGGCAATGGTCTATGAAGAAAGCGACGAATGGTATACCAAAAAAGAAAAAAAAACAGAAGAAATTGTTAATCATGTATAGAAATAGAATCCTCTACGAAAAATGCGTGTTGCTGCATGGATCGTTTCTTATTGATCCCACAGTCTAATCGTTTGTGACACAACTAAATGTCACTATTAGGGTATCCAATAACTTTTGAGTCTAAACGTTAGGTAGCTCAAAACGTATAATTCAATTACCGATAAATCATAGTAAAGAGTATAAGCATGCTATGGTTTAAACGTTTTATACACATGGCAATCCATTTGGAAGATGGCTACGTTCATAGGATCTCTAACCTCTTTGAAGAATTCAGTTACCAAAGGTTAAGAAGCCATACATCAGGTGTTGGAAGAGCCGCCTGCTTTTTATGTGTGTGTTCAAGAGTTTTTGCTGGCAGACAATCATAGGTGTGGACCTTTTTTTGAAAAAGATTTAGCAATAGTCGAGCACGCCAAGGACAGCCGGTTAGCGGGAGCTCGTCAAGAATGACCCGTACTCCTAAATCGACCACTCAGTGGGACTTGGAAAGCTATGTTAAGAGAGTCGAGTTTCCGATAATTGTCCATCATCATCTTACAAACTCGTTTTAACATATACGGTATGCTTCTTCCGCAGACGAACGGCAGCTTGGAGCGACGAGATGGTGTGCATGGTGGATGGAAAGTTGAGTTTATACGAAAGTACTGCAAGGCATAGACGAGACGGATGCCGACGAAGAGCCAGAACATTTTTGGAGAATGGCCTTTTTCTTCGTGTCTCCAGGTTTAATACATGAATACCTTCTAGCACTACTGTATCGGTGACACAGTCTAATCTCAACTGGAAAGAATGGTGTCTCAAGGAAATAACGGTGTTTGACAGCGGCAAGAGGTCCCTCGCTATAGATTCTTCAGAGAACGCTACCTCACATTATACGCAAGTGGCTCTTCAAAAGATGCAGGAGCTAGGAGTCGAATGGCTGTCTTATCCAAGTACAGCCTCGACGTAACTCCCTGCGAATACCATGTTTTCAGGTCTTTGGCCTCATTTCAGGTGTACGGGTCATCAGGACATAGGCCCGTAGCAAACTTCCCGTCAGGTGAGATGACCTGACCTGACGGGGCTAGTCTAAGTCCACCGAGTTCACATGATCCCGATCCCTCCGCCGTAGTATAAGGATACAAAGTCCGCGGACGGATCACGGTCATGCGAGGTTCTGCGATGAGATAAACTGAGCCCCTAAGGAGAGAGTTCTCCTGGGGGGTTATACAAAGGTCAGGGGAACTTGTAAGTTGCTCGGAACCAACTTACGATCTCCCCTGACTATACGTACTTTTGCGTCAAATGTGAGCATTACCGACCCAAAAGTGCACACTTGCTGATGATTTGCCCAAGATTCGCTCCTAATCAATGATTTAGTTCGAAAGCGTTCTGTCTACAACTTTACGGTGCACCTATGATCCTTCATGTAATTCCTACACATTGGCAAAAGAGTTTGCTATTGAGCGGATTTACACCACGGTCAGTTGCTCAGTGGTCGCCACCTCAACCACTGAACCACCAATACATGGTATGACGCAGTGATGAAAGTTTTATTGATGTTAACTGCGCATGCTAAGGATCATTGCAATCAATTTTTCCC